ATACCCCACTATATTCGTTGCACTCGACAAGCTTGATGAATATTCTAAAAGCCAAATCCCATAGCCATTTGTTCTCACTTGAGGTTGATGACGTAGAAAAATCAGGTCGAAAGCTTGATACTCCCACTGCTTGCATCATAGTCCACATAACGGCAATCTGCTGCGGCGTAGCTTTGGGATGACCTGGTCCATCAGGGTAGGGAAAATGCGGATCAGTAGTGGTAGATGCTTGGCCCAAAGTGGGCAAAGGCGCATCAATGGTGTTCAGATCAACTTCAAACTTCCATGCCTGCCTATCTATGTCCGTTGCTGCAACAGGTAAGCCTGTTTCATTTGATTTACGTCCTAGAAGAGTATCTATATGCAGTCTCATCCATGCCTATACATATCAAATCAGCTAGATTAATTCTCCTCTGGTCAAGAAGGTAAAACTCACCGCAGACCTTCCTCCCAGTGTTTTCTTTTTGGGTGGAGGGCTTGGTTTGGTCTCCGTTAAGGTGCTGACAACCTGTGATAAGACCTTTAGTTCCTGTGTTACAACATCGAGCTTGTGGTTGGTTTCTGCTAGTGAATGTTTAAGTTGATCTGTTGGTATATGTCCACATATAAGTCCCTTTCTACAAGATTTTAGATGTGATATATTCTATATAATGACTTACAATATTTTGGACGCCATTCCTGTTGGTGTGTGGATTCCTCACAGTCGCTTTGTCCAGCAACACTAGGTTTATCACGATGAGGGGTTGGAGTTAAAGGTACCGATGATGAATTCAGGGGGGTGGAAGGGTGTGTGGATTTGTGGGGTCTAGTCTTTTGTTTTCTAGTAGGTAGCTCGGGTTGATCTTCCTCGTCGGTTTCTAGCATTAAATCTTCATCGTCGGTTTCTAGCATTAAATCATCTGAATAATTGCTTCGATCACTTGGTGTTTCATCGTGCTGAGAGGCTTCATCTTCCCAAATCAGGGTTGCCTTTTTTCTTTTTGAGCGCGGTCGAAGGTTTTTGGACATTGATTTTCTAGTGGAGCAGTGAGAAGACTTGGATGAGCTTTGATACCCCAGACTAGGAGTATCAACTGGTGAGTATTTTTCGAAGATTTTTCCGTGCCGTGAAGAAGGGACTGAGTTGCGTACATACATGTATCAAAATCTCATTCATCCATACACATAAAGCTTTGGAACAACTCACCTGGGTCTCGTGTCTTGTGCTTCTCTGGTTGATTACTTTGTAGCTTGATTGATGCTGATAATACAACAGTTTCAAATTTAATAAAGAGATATGTATCATAATTCTGTGTGAATACGTAGAGACCTCTGAAACAACAAACCTGGGTCAGAGATTTGGGTGTTCTCTAATTTGTCATTACCTCGTACCTCGCTCGAAGCTGGTGACACAAGAGTGCAAAAGAATCGAAAAGTAAGAATAGTATTGGATGTATAAATTGAAGAATGAAGGTGCCAAGCCTTCGCACGACACATGAGGAGCGTCAGAAATTGCGCGACTTTTCCCTTTATGTTTTGCTTTCCTGGTGGCTGATTTTGATGATAAAAGCAATTGTTATCCTTGCTATCGGGTGTCATTGAGATATATCAAGAGTTCCCGCTTACAATCTACTGAAATTTCCTGTTCGGCAGCTAAAGAGACATCGGATGATGTCAGATTAGATGTTTCAATATTCGCTTTTTCCTTTCCTTTCCTTCTGGATTTGGAGGGTATCTCGCTGGTGCCAGTGTAGACTGTGGCCTGGGTAGGATCTGGGTAGTATCAAATATCAGGTGCGCCAAAATGATCGGAGTCAACTTCTTAAACCACAACAAATCAAAGCGAAGATTGCAAATAGATATCTACTACCACCTACCTTGACGAGATGAAGTCTTGCACCATTGACTGGGAGGTTGGTGAGCGGCGGATTCATCGGGAGAACCTGGAATAGCCAACCAACTCATTAGTGTGACACATGTGTTGCTCAAATTGTAAATGAAGTCGCAAACCTTCAAGCCTGGAGGTCGATGGAGAGAGCGGTTCTGGAAGTGCAAACCGAAAAAAATGCCTTGGGATAACAACTGCTCAAATCTTTCCACCAGTCAACCTTAAAAATCATATTTTGGTTCAATTGATCACTTACTTAAATCTCGATAGTCATTACATAGACCGACTAGTTCATCTTTAGTTAACCCTTGGCCATCCAAGCCAATATTTTTGATCATTTGAATGAGTTCGAATGGCTCGTGACAATTGAAATCGTGGTCACTTGGTGCTGGACGATCTTTGGACAAGGCGGAAGACTGCTGGGCTTTGAGAGATACGTCTGAGAAATCTGGAACTGGAACCTTTTCTTGCTTGTTGGAGGATTTCGACTTGACCCGAACCTCGTGAGCTGAGGGAATCCTGGAGGCTGATGATTCCCGTAGCCTAGGCCGTTTGGGTTTTGTGCATTTATCAAGGAGTTCAAGTAATCGGACACGGGATGATTTTTCTCCGACTGTGACACCTACGCTCTTGAGGCGTTGGGGTATGTCATCTCTGAGCTCATGTGTCACACTTCCTGAGAAATTGCGTGAGATTAATGCGATAAATGAAAAAAAGACTCAAACTCAAGATCAAGTCTAGCGATCACCGTGTATTATATTGGGACCAGGGAGCTTACCGGTATCTGAACCTGCAGATGTCCTTTTACGCTTCATAGAATTTTCGGAACCTTCAACGACGTTTTGGAATGATGATTCTTGGATTGCTGGTAGTAAATTTGATGTAGCCTTTTTCCGGTCTCGCAGGACTCGAGTGGGAAGGGTTGGTTCCGATGGCATGTCGGTCAAAAATCAAGACAAAAGTTTTGAAAATATAACACGAAAAGTCACACTTCATGAGATGAGATAGGATGAAATCATGTTAAAGTGAGAACCGTAGAGTGATGTGTGCAATGAAATCAAGCATGCACATACAAAGATTGATAAAGTTAGTAATTCATGGATCAAATCTTGTGTTTGGAAAACTATCCAAATTTCATGTACGTGATCTTAACAACAAATTAAGGCAAGTGACACTGAGAATAATCAGCTCACCTCATTATATGATCAGTACCATGACTACCAGTACAAACTGTTTTACACCGATTAGATATGACAGATCAGTCCCTCATGGGATGTCCAACATACCACAAGGCTTGTGATGAGAATGCCTCCATCCCACTTTGACAACCCAAACAGCATCATCATATTATAAGGCGCGTACAAGATCCTTTATGATGACCTTTTAAAATCCCGAAATAATTACTTACATAATGAACATCCATAATCTATAGACATGGTAGACATGGTAATTGCCAAACATTCATGTACGTACCCTTTTTTGTCACAGATCTTATAATTTTTTCCACTCTGCTTTGATCTAGTATCCTATTTAAAGAACAATGAAAGAAGAAGTAAAGTAAGCGATCATTCTAACAACTAATCCAGTACCCACTTTCCTACAATTCATTGCTCTTGGTTACACCTTTTTCAGCTTGACGTGTAAGCCAATCTTTGACTCAGATATCGAATATGGGGTACTCTTTCTTTCTTCTCTGATCAAACAAGCTTGAGTTTTGGCAAGTCGCCTCATCACGGAGGCAAATATCCCCAAACTTTGGCTGCCTTTGTGTAGATCTGAAATGTTTGCCAGCCCTGTAATTTCCCCTGATCTCTGTGTCAGACCCTTGTTCGAAAAATGATGTGAGGGTTTCAATCTGATTCTTTTATAAATAGTCTACTGATTCTCACCGATATCCATGATCTTGTTTTCCTCACCACTCATTTGCATATTGGTCGTTCACAGTTGGTCTTCTACCGACAAAGTGTACACATTTCTTATGTTTTTTTTGTACTGGTTTATGTTACTTAACTATCGACTGACTGATTGGTGTGGTTCATCCTCTTCTAGCTTCTTTCACTCATCGATAATCAACACAATCTTCAGAAACGTTTTCAAATAAACCTATAATCCAAGCCTTCGAGGTATGAATTAATTTTTAGCTTTGTATCAACCAATACACGTCACGCTGACTGCAATAATCACTGCCTAATTTGCTGAAGTCAGATTATATCCAGTACTCTTCACTCAATCTGTTCTTATCTGATTTAACGTAAGTGAAAGCTTTAACTCATCCATTCACTTTGTCCTATCTAATCTCAAATGACCTTTTCTTAAAACTTCTTGCAAGCATTCTGAAAGATATCAATTCGGCTTATATACAATCAGTTCGGCTGATTATGACAAAAGCCAAGAAGGGAAAGGCAAAAACTTTGAGTCAACCTAACTCTGCTAAAACCGACGCAGGCGCAGATGCTTCAACTTCACATGCTTCGACTGATTCCAAGATGCCTCAAGGAGCGCCCCCGGCCGGACCCAACCCATCAGGTTTTCATCCAATGAATCCTGAACCACAAAAGATGTCGCCTGAAACCACCAATGAAGACTGGCTCAAAGTCCAAACTTTGAATGACGATCTCAAGATCTTTCTAACACCTGGTAATGAGAAGAACACTCCTGGTATTACTAGCCTCAAGCTCTATCGCATACTGGTTCACTTCAACCCAAAAACCAAGCACCGACCAAATACTCTCAAGGAAATTCTATGGAACGCCTTCATATCGGATGTTTTTCCCCTCCTGAAGCCTCACATGTTACCTTCTCCGCCTGCCCCGATGGAAAGCGAGTTTTTGTATAACGACTTCAATCCCCTCAGCAAAAAGACCACTCGAAAGCAACTTACCGACACCATTCATTCAGTTGTCCCCAAATTCGGTATTCCTGGCAGTTCCACACGCGATCGTATCTTGATTGTCTATAAGGCCTTTGTCGACAAAGACCTTAAACTCCCTTGGCTGACTGAGTTTATAAAGCCTCCAAACGTTGTTTCAAAAGCAAGAGTTGGTGACTTGAGTATGGAAGAGCTTCGGATGACTTTACAGGAACGAGCTCCACATGTATTCATACATTCAGGTCCAATGAGCTTGGGCGTCCTCATCAACCTCTACATCAAATTTGTTATTGAAGACCCGGTGGCCGAAGACTTGCTTGTTCGAGGCTTTCATTACTCTCTCTTGCGTAAGGAAGCCTGATATCCCAGTCTGGTATTGGTCAGTCAGTTTGTATGAATCATCTACAGATCCTCTTGATACTGATGATAGTCGTTTTCATCCACACATTCTTCCTTCAATCATAGGGTTTCTTTTTCCTACATTTCGCCAGATCCATTACAATTTATCCTCAAATGCTTTCCTTATTTTGCCCTTCTTTCATGATGTGTCAAGGTTTCTTTGCAGATATGATGTTTCGATCAACTTTTTCTTCAATTTTTCATGATGACTCTTCTATCTCCAAATTATTTTCTTTACAAGATCACATTTCCTTTGTGTTGCATAACTTTCAGCAGGCTGAATTTGTATGCTCACCAATCTTGAAATATGTTCTATCAATTTTGATCTCTCATCTTGTGTATATCCTGTCCAACAAAGATCTTTTATTTCAATCTATGCGCTACTTCTTTTTAAAATTAAATGTATTATTAGATCCTTAACATGTCCTTCATAAATTCGCACCGTATTTTTTATCAATCGATATGAAAGACATGTGGCTACAATATATCTACCTTCTTCTTGTCCCTAGTATTTCCCATGAAACACCAGATCCAATTGCTAATATTTAGCCGACCCACACACGCTTTTGGTGAGATTTGTTTACTTGTCAAAAGAATTAAATTGAGTCATCATCAAACATAACGATCGCTTTATACTACTCTCACCATACAAGAGAGTGAATCAAAAAACAAGATCTTCACGATAGAATTGAGCTGATGATCAAAGTTCACAAACACAATAGCTAATATAACATGTAAAGAAGATGTTCATGATATAGAATGGGAGAATTACATCAAATAATCTATGATCAGTGTGATCACTCAGACACGGAGTCTGTTTGTGGTTGAGCTTTATGATCTTCATGATCAGAATGATCATCACTTGAGTTGTAATCATATTCTTGAAGAAAATCAACATTATTAGCTCCTACAAACCGTCGAATTACTCGCTCGTGTGCCCTGATCATGTGATGTGCTGAACTCAAATCTTCTTGCATATCCATTGATTCAACCTCCAGATCTTCGACCTTGGACTTCAGCTTCTGGATATCAATCATGGCTTGTTCGAGATGAGATATAACTTTTACCAGTCCTCTTGCTGGATAAAGGATTGTAGTCAGGAGGAAGCAGTATATAGCCACATAGTCAGAACAAATTTGAAATGATATGTACCATTGAGTAGTCCTTGTTCTTCTACATCTTCGTAAAGTTCGACATCAACCTTCTTATCACTAGCGCCGTCTGGAATGCTCAATTGCGCCAACCGTTCCTCCAAAGTTCGAGCTGAAAATGATGGAGGAATTCAGGCCGATTTGCGTAAACGGCAATCAAAGTCAGTACAGAAAAACTGCTAACCTTTCTTTTTGGAGTTTTCGACCTCTTTGGAGGATTCCGCCATGGGTCTCTTGGAGCCGGAATCCATCGCTTGATCACTATCTGGAGATATGACCCGATATATCAGCAACAATTTGATAGAAAATGAGAAGGTAAATGATGCTACAAACCAATTGGGCCATCGCCAAGCATGTCACAAAAGTTGAAATTGAAATTTGGAAGCTTGGGTACATCAAAAGACGGATATTGATTGATGGGTTGGGTTAATTCTAGGCCTTCAGACATGATGTAATTTGAATATGGACTGGATATAATGCCTCAAGGCTACTTGCAGCTTCACCTTCGTGAATTGATCAAGAGATGATGATCACACTGAATTAGCCAATTGAAACAAGGGTAGCAAGCCGAGATCTCGAAATCTAAGTAATCATGACTTCGAAGAATTCATACTTACAACTAATAACAATATATTTGTAAGTATGTCAATCGCAGGGGATGGACGTCGAGTAACACCTAGTTAATAGGTAATCCAAAGTGGAAGCTTGTGAAAGAATTCGAAGAGAGGGTTTATAATTTAGATTTATCTCTGATCAAGTTGTATATCAAAGGAGGAAAAGGGCACAGAAATGTACCTCACCGATCTTGACAAGAGACCCATCTGTAGGCCAGTTAAATGAGTGTTGATAGGTGTTTATCGATATCTTGAAACATTTGAACAGATGAATTTATCTGAAAAAATATTCTTCATATATGCATTTCCATCTAATTTTTCTGCACATGTTTGTAATTATCCAGTCATCAAGTCTAAAAACTCTTAATTGGACTAATCATTCCGATACTGAACATGATTCGTGAATGTTCTATTCAATTTATCACTTGAAGGTCATCGGTGTTGAAGGTTTACAAACAAAATTTTTTGAACAGACTACTGAATATCCAGATATAATCAGGTCAGTCTGAGACTCTGACCACTTAGCCAATATACTCTATCACCTTCTACCGGACCGGAATCCACAATTTCTTGCCTTCTTATAACTTCAATGTACATGGCGTTCAAGCTTCCTAGATCTCAAAGATGATAACAGATTGAAACATCCCCAAGCCTTTTCTACAGTCATGACCACCCATCATGTACTGGTCATCAGATGACATCAGTTCGATTTCTAAAGTTTCCTAACATCCAGTTTTCATCTTCTGTTTGTTAGAGATTTTAGATGAATGACACAATCACAAACAACCAAATTAAACAATCATTTAATTCGGTTCTTGAATTGTTCTTTATATGCAGAAGAATTGTATGTAAAACTAATAAGATTAATAAAGGATTCCTTACTAAATCCCAAGTGCAACAGTGCAATTTTACTAAATAGAGTGAGACTTGCGTGTATGACCGACATTCATGGTACCCACGAGTAACATAATTATACACCAGAAAAGCTTCATATACAAATGATTAACACTTTATCATTGTGTCTGTTTAAAATCAGCGTCGGAAGAGATCATAGATGTCTGAGCCTCGCTCTATCTCCGGTACCTTGATGCGTGAGGACGAGGTAGACCACCACATACTGAAATATACACAATACCACGCTGGAAAAAGGGGGTTCTCAATTGTTAAAAGATTGAGTGTACCAAAATTCTATTGGAAAACAAACCTATATCTCATAGATTCAGAATCTATTAGATATGTACCAAGTTTTTTGCTTTTATGAAGTTTCAATGCGCTCATGAGACTAATCCAATAGACCACATATGACAAGTAAATCCAATTGCATCATTGGTAAATAGAAGAGAAGATGTAGATTAAGGATTATTGTAGCCTAAACTACTTAAGCATCATCAGATTCAACATCAATTTCAGAATTGTTGTTCTCATCATCCTGTTCCATCAGCCGTATGATGCATTTCCCATGAGTCTGAATCTCTTGATCTGCTCTGTTGCAGCGATCATTCAGGAGATCTAGTTCTTTCTGAAGACTTGAGATCGTATCCTTAAGCGCATTGATACATTTTTCTTGTTGATCAAGGTGATTGGTGGCTGATTTGAGTGAGTGCTCTGTGAACATAAAAATTAACACATTCAGAATGTACCTTTAAAGCCCTGTTTAGTGATGCAACTACGTACCCAGTTCATACTTATCTTGTTCATGCTTAATGTTGTTATTACCTGATGCTTTCTCAATAAGCCCAATCCTATTCAATATGCTAGAAACCGATTCTTCCAGTACACCCACTGCTCAAAACCATGTGTCAGCGATGTTTTTGTTGAAAATAGGAAAAAATAGACATACCTTTTGCTACGCAAAGCCTTTCCTCTTTGAAGATATCTACCCCCGACTTGTAAATTGAGGTTGATGATGAGTGTGATGTTACTTTTTCACCAATTTCTGTTTACGGATTTCAAAATTTAGCTGTGAGCTATTGGACATCAAAGCAATTAATGGTCCACTAACCTAGATCATCTACGGCCAGCAAATCCATATCTGAGAAACTGATGAGATCGGGCAATTCTGCAGCAACTGGGAGAATGGTCTTAAATTGATCAGTGTTTGACGAGCTGAACACTTTGACCTTCAGATTAGTTGCTGCCCTTCCAGGTGCGACTTCATAGTTCTTTAGTGCTTTCAAATCTTGCTTGCTATCTCTCTCCATGAGATCGATACCTGGATTATACTTTCCTGCGTTTGAGGTCTCTGGGCTCAGAACCAAAGGTCTACCTAGATCGAAATATGACTTATTTTTGGTTATTCTCTGATTTTCCAGGTATTTTCAACGAACATCGCTTAATCAGTGAATGAACATATTCCTTCAGTTGGCTGACAGACTGACATTCTTTTTTTCTTTGCGTTTGGATGAACTGGGAATTTGAATCTGATTGAGTAGTTCCTCGTCACCTAATCAAAATGATGTGTCATTCAAGGTGGATGCTAAATTTCAGAGATCTCTGAGTGACTTGAGCAATCTTTGTTGCATGAGCTTCTTACCCAGGTTAGTGCGCTTCACGGGTTTCGGGTTTGGACAGGGGGAAGCAGATCGCTTAACATGTGCTTTTACTTGCACAGCGACCGACTGTGACTGGATTGACAGAACTGGTATATTTGGGATATCAGGATATGTGTTAGAATGAATATAACAATTGCATCACACATACAGGCAGACTTTGTTAAAACATACCAGGTACAGAATCTTGAGGTGGTTCCACAATATCTAAAACCGGTGCAGCCAATGCTGGCTTGTTGCTATTTGGATCCGGGAACACTTTTCAGATGAAAGATCATCATTTCTCATTAGCCGCGGGAGAAAACAAGTAAAAACATGATCAGAGCTTACATTGAGGTTGTTTCTTCCGCACAATTACTGCCACGTCAGCCTTGTTGAGTTGTGACGAGACTGGAGACTTGGGAAAAGTGATTCGTAACCAGTCCAGCATGGTTTGTTTGGTCATACCTGGTGTACTGGGATCCATGATACTCGGAGTGGTAGTATCTAACATATCTATTGCTGGATAAAAATCATAAACTAGGGAAAGTGCACCCCACATGATTCAGTGGGGATCATCGTCGTCAAAACACACAAACCTGATGTTAGTGCAAAGTCGAAGAATGATAGTTCTGGTGGTTGTATGAAGATCGCTGCCAGCAGACTCGGCTGTTCAAGGTGAAAATGGATAAAAACGATCCATTGTTAGCAATGAAATCGGTTCCAGTGCTTTGCGAATCAAAAAACATCAAAAATGCTCAAAAGGTAAGTTGAAGGACTAGTACTTACTCTGAAATAGATACAAAGTTTCAAACGTTCTTGCAAAAACCTGTAAAATGCAACACAGAGGCTTGAAATGGATAGCACAGATTACGTTGGATAGAAGCAAGAGAAGTGGTGTGAACGATTAGATGATGAACGAGTTAAGAAGGTGAGGCTAGAAGTAGATTATTGATCTGTAGTACGCCTGACAAACTTTGAGGGTCGCTTGTGATTGAGTCAGCTGGATTCAAGCTCTGCAGTGGTGTCCAGGTCCTTATATCTTCATGTGCTGGGTTTGAGAAGGTTGTCGAAGCTCTCTCCCGATTAACCGAAGGAAGGATGTGTATAGTGTAAAGGGAACCATGACAATTCATGGAGTCCTTCAAATACTAACGTACAAGTTATCATAAGATTGATGACTCAATATATGTATTGGTGTTAAGAAATTGTCGGTCAGGAAATTGCTGACATACCAAGCAACACGTATGGCTGACCGTCATCCAGGTACAAGTCAAAAAAGGTTGATTGTGACAACGAAGGCATCATGAGCCCGTGGTCGTTTTACGCATCTGAGCCATTACAAAATTCAGAATATCTTTTAAATTCTAATGGATCACGGGACGGAAATGTCCAAAAAGTGAAAATTCAAGCAAGACATTTGATACTTGACAAGTCTGGATTACGCACACCCGTTGATTAATGAAGGTGGATGATAAATGATCTTGTATGAGTACATACATATTTCACGAATAAGAAGGTACTATGGATGGGTACAGGAAAATGATTCGTGTATGGTTATATAAAAGAATTATGCATGGGTATAGAAAAGTGCGCTACACATAGTTTTCTATGCGCGCACTGATTTTCTATACCCCCGGGTAAAGACGACATTTGGTGTAGTGTATGTAGCTAGTATGACAAACATTCTATGGATCTGTATGTGCAAATGTATAAAAAAGATGATATCTTTTTTAGCAGACCAGCATGCTGTGTGGTCTTATTATGAACTATTTGGAGGACCATTCCAGCTTGCCAATGCACTCAAAATCGAGCGTTTTGGCCCGGAATTGAAAAAGTTATGAGTTTTCTCAGAAATCAAAAGCTCTAAACACTAATGAGCCAAATTTCAGTGCTTGTTACAGGTTGTAATTGGATGATAATGAAGGTTTATTGTTAGTACACTTATCAATATGGACTGTAAAAATACGGAAAAATATGGAGAGTGAAGTTCTCAACGCAGGGAACAAGATGCATATTTTTATTTATTTTTTGCCCTTTGCCTGGCCTCTCAATATTTTTGTGTATCAATAATTTAATTTTCTGCCCAGAAAATATTATATTTCTTGTAGTGTGAAAGACCAGAATTTGACAGATAAATGACTGCTATAGTGGACTCGACCAATTTGTAAACAATAGGTCAATAAGAGGCATACAACAATCATGTAGTATACAATGATAAAAAATCAATAGCCAAATAGTTGACCTTTCAAGATATGAGTGATATATAAGAAAACCATCAAGTACAGCTGCCTGTTTAAGAGCAGCTGCAGCTGCATCTTGTTTGAGATCTGTTTCTTCAGTCTCTGAATCATTCAGCTAATGACCGTGGTCCGAGAGGAGGTTGAAAAATTATAACTAATATCATGCTCAGGTTGAGAATGATGCCCTAAATCACCATGTAGTCAACATGAGAGGAAGCAAGAGAGATGGTTGTGAGCCAACATCATTTGTGCGATTGTTGCATTGAGTTCCTTGAAGTCATTTTTGTGGGGAAAAAAGCCAAGGGATAAAAAAATCAGCTCTTTCTACAAACTCTGAGTGTCCCTGTAAACAATCAACAAAGGAGGTGACATTAAAGTGACAGTGTGTTGATCAAGAAAGATTGATGGGTATGACTAACTTCGAAATGACATGAGATATCTGTCACGGACCACATCTTATTGATAATCTGTTCACAAGTCAATGAAATCTAATGTATACAATAACTTGCAAAATTCTGAACTTCAATACAATCAATGGATCAATAAATCAGTCAAAGGAGCGACCTTTTGATTCCAAAAGATTATCCACAAGAATCAATATAAATCTCGATTGAAAAAATCAAGAGATGAAATGTTTGAGACACAGATTGTAACTTACAGTGTTGGAAAAATTTGAACAAACGGGTTCGGATGATGAATTATCAAGTTGACAATCAAAAGGTGAATTTGAGTTATCCATCTGAATCAAATGATCTTCTGATCTGTGTTTATATCCAATAGTCTTGTACTGTCTACGGTGCGCTCTTCACCTACAAAGAATAAAAGTGATAGATATTCAATTGATTGAAGTTGATTTTTTTCAATTCAAATGAAATGTACCTTGAGCCATTTGACGAAATTCATTTAAATAAGCTGCCCATTGAATACCAAGTTGATCTAAAATTTCTACATCTCCCTTGTCTATTCTTTCAGCTGAACCTGTAATGATCACACTGATTGGATGATCTCCATTATAACGTTCATGATGGATTTGATCTTTCAATCTTCCTATCGCATTCTTGGTTCAGCCGGTTCATGTTTGCTATTAGGATGTGAGATACTCAACCAGCTAATCTACCAAAAGAGACTGTTCGAGATCCAGAATGACTATTTGTGATCAATTCCCAATCAATGAACCTATTGCCTGAAGAGACCATCTTCTGTAACAATAGGATAGTATAAGATTGGCCTGTGTGAGTATGGGAGAAACTACAGGAAATGAAATTGTTTCGGATTCACTTAAGACAGGTATTTTTGTGAGATTTAGATTGAGAAACATCCAAGATAAGTATGTTTATGATTTGCTTTAGTTGATGAAGTTGGCTTTAAGTCATTGATTGAGATTTCTTTGATTGCCAATATAAGGTCTGCATCACCATCAGCTGTAGCAGGTGGAACGATTTGAGATCTGGCCTGAATAAAGATGATTTGATAAATCCGACGATCAGATTCTATGATTGTAAAGATTTTTGTAAAAAGCCATCAAACTGACCTTTTCGTATGATTGGTCGTTCAAGATATGTTTTTGACTTGATTCTAGTTTGATGTTAATCAATCAAGAACCTAATGAATCCAAGAGACGAGTGATATTGTTAGGTACTCAAGGTGTTCTTCTTTCCCAAAGACGCGAGTTTGCTTCAGCTTTGATCAGTAGTTGAATCGGTGCTGTAAGACTCGGATTGCTAGTAAGAAAAGTTCTAGTTTGATTGATAATGTCATTTTATCTTAGATTTGAAATTAATTAAGGTTCCAATCTCATCTTGAATGGTTGGTTTAAGGGTATGATGAGGTTATACTTTGAGTCTGCATTCAAGACTCAAGCTTCTTGACTCTGAGATTATTTTGCGGCAGAGTTGGTTTCAAAGATGAGCAAATCAGAAGGATGTCGAATTGAACCAAAAGTCTCAGGTTGATGATCGCAAGTTGAAGCTTCACATTTGACAATCAAACTTTGTCTTCATCATCATCCTCGAAGTGTAGAAACTTAGCAAGGCAGGTAAGTTGTATCGATACGATGAACTTTGGGTCAGACACCCACTTTTTGATCTCGGATATGACCTCAAAAACAATACAGCTTTGGTTTTCAAAAGAAAATTTGGTTAAGTTATTCGGATTGTTTTGCACGTCTTAGTCTACTTCAATGAGAACAGTGCAGCTTACCATATGGTTTTAATGATTTGTCAAGTTACATCAGATTGAATGAAGTTCATTGGAGCTTGAGTTTGTTGAAGTTGAAGTTGATTTAATCTGTTGAGATTTTTCATAAATTTGTTTGCCTGGTTCAATAGTTGACTTTGTCGGTTTGTTTTTTGAATGGTGTATAATTATATCTAGTTCTTTATATTTTAATATAGTTTTGTGTTATACAATCGAATGGAATTGAGATTTGGTGGTCATTGTTTGCTAATGAGGTGGTGATGGGCTGCAAAGGTGATTAAGCTGCTTGTATCTATTTAATGGAGATTGTAAATCAAATGAAGCCTAAGATCAAAAAAGATATACGAGTGTTTGGCACTTGATGAGTATATATGTTGTGAATGGTATGTTGAAGGCTGATGGTGGTGATTCACTGAGTTTGTCAAGGTGCCAAGACTCAGACTGACGACGCTTGTTGATTCAAATGGGAGGAAGGTGAAAGGATAAACTTTGAGAAAGGGGTGAAGCGCGTACAAGTCAGAAACTCTTTGTTGGACGCGGAAACCTGGAAATTGTTATTGGAATGTCAGAAAAGAAAATGTGCACTGCGGGACTCGAACCCACAACCTGATCCCTATATCTAGGAGGGTGGTCTAACCACTGACACCCCGGGCAAACAGGTGACACTACATATGTAGCGTTGCGCGGACGCTTCGGGGCCGAGTCTGTGGCGTCACCTGCTGCAGCCAGCGGCGTCAGCTCGAATTTTGTAGCGTCACCTGCCCAAACTCACGTCACCCACTCGATTTTCGCCTCTTCCCATTGATCCTTTCCCCACATCAACCTCCTTTCCACCATGGCACATTAAAAGAGTGGCTCAACTAAACTCGACAATCACCATCTTTCCAAGGAATGTATGGAATTGCCACCAGGTGACTAATACCACTTGATCATACCTTGACTTCTTTGACTTTTATTGATAGACAACACTGTTTTTTGCGTTATCTAGGTCATGTAATCTGGTAGATATCTGGAAAACAAAAAACAACTCCAGGTTTCAGATGTTTAGGAAAGTATAGACTTTTAATCGGAGGGATCGATCCACATTGATACAACCTTATCGACCGAAACTATTGACTTTAAATGTGGTAAAGTTTGGGTATCTTCAAGTTGAATTGATTTTAAAATTTTGAATGTATCTTGACGACAAATTGAAGATGTACGAAATAAAACCTAGCATTGAACTTTCTGTGAAATGAGCAAAATCTGGTTAGTGATGCGAAACCAAAAAAAGACCTCAGATATCAAGAATTTCGTTTTTGATCGCATACATTGAGTGCATTTTTTAATTCGATTGGTTGATAAGATGGATTGACAGTTGTTAAGATTGCTCCTATTTCTGCAGTTGCCCATTGTAAAGTCGCATAAGAACTATTATTAATTTCTGAATAGATTCCAACTCGATCGCCTTTTTTATTGGCCGTTGCTATTTGCAGCCCACAAGAAGACCATGTAGGCGCTGGCCAAATTACGCCTATGTGGGTGTTTCCCACGAAGAAGCGCCTACATTTATGATGTAGGCGCTGTAAACCATCCAAAATGATGCCTACATGTCAAAAAACCCATGTAGGCGTCATTTGGTTACGCCTACATTCAAAAAATGAAATGTAGGCGCTATTTTCAAGCGCCTACATGGGAAATCCAATGTAGGCGCTCAAAATTTATGCCTACATTTTTAAAATTGAGCGCATACATTCAATTTTCAGCTCAAATAAGCGCCTACATGCAGTCCTGCATATGTAGGCGCTACAAATCCGGCAACTACAACTCCAGACTGGTCTGAAGGGTAATGAAGAACAATTTTCAAGTCAAAATGAGAGTATTGGAAGACGGAAAAAGCAGTTTGGACTCAAAATGAGTGTATTGGAAGACAGATAAAGCAGTTTGGAGTCGAAATCAGTGTATCGGAAGGCGGAAAAGTCACTCCGGAGTCAAAATGAGTGTATCAGAAGACGGAAAAGTGGTAAATTGTTTCAACTCTGAACTCAGTTTGGAGTCAAAATGAGTGTATCAGAAGCGGAAAAGGAAGTGGATTATTTCAACTCTGAACTGCTATTTACGTCTTCTGATACACTCACTTCAGAGTTGAAAAGAGCATATTCATCTTCCAGTATGCTTAACTGCTCTTTCCGTCTTCCAAAACACTCATCCAACTCCAAGCTGCTTTTTCCATCTTCTGATACACTCATTTCAACTCCGAACTGCTTTTTCCGTCTTCAAATACTCTCATTTTAACTTGTAACTTCTTCTTCATTAGCCGTCAGACCAGTCTGGAGTTGTAAGTGTTGGATTTGGAGCGCCTACATATGCAAGACTGCATGTAGGCGCTTATTTGAGCTGAAAATTGAATGTAGGCGCTCAAAAATAGCGCCTACATTTCAAATTAGATATGTAGGTGCTTGAAAATTACGCCTACATTCTGAAATTTTGAATGTAGGTGTAACCAAATGACGCCTCCATGGGTTGTTTATCATGTAGGCGTCATTTTAGATGGTTTCCAGCGCCTACATCATAAATGTAGGCGCTTTTTCGTGGGAAACACCCATGTAGGCGCTGCCAAAACAGCGCCTACATGGTTTTCTTGTGGGCTGCAAATAGCAATGGCCTTTTTATAATCAATCAAACCCGTGATCAATTTTCGATTTCATCAATCAAGATTAAGAATAAGAAAGACCAACCAAACACCAAGTTTTAAATGACCATTAGCGAGTCAATGAATTTGATCATCAAACTCCAAAAAAGTCCATTTAATTGTTTGATTTGAAATTTGCTGGATTCGAAGTAGCTGGTTCATGTTTGGAGATTGATGCGACTCTTGAATGATCATTTGGTAATAGATCATTTAACCAATAGTTTGATAAAGTTTTAGATATCAGTAAGGGTTTGATTGAGCCTTTCAATTGAGAACTCGACTTTTGGATTGTCGAAGTGTTGATATATTTCGAGATTGAACTGAGCATTTTTGCGTCCAAATCAAAGGAAGACTAAAGGGATTATGAAGTGTCGAATGCACAGAGCTCTAAAGTTTGAGCCCAATTTGCTCAAGTTTGCGGGAAAACCTGCATGGAATTGGACAAGCTTTTTGAAACCGACAGTAAAGTATCTTCAAATCTTTTAATTGATATCTTGTTAGATTGTGAACTTTTTGCAAAATGAGTCTGATAGAAGCTTGAGAAAAGATTTGCAATATTTTGACTAATTATGAATTCAAATCTTATTAGATGAGGGTTTATATAGGGTTTAAGAACAGTGTTGCTCAAAGACAATCAATTTGGTTTAAAGAATTCAGAACTAATCCTATCAGATCAACAGAATCAGTTTGTAGTTATAGTTAGAGTCAATGTGGAAGGCTATTGAGGCTATTGAGGCTTGTTTAGATGCATTGATGCCTCATGATGTTGTGAAGAGGTCGATCAAGCTCAAGGTCAAGATCAATACAGATAAGACTAAAAGATTTTATGAAGTTGATTAAAACTTCAGCTCACGACTTATGCCATTGATCCTTTTAAGATATCTTTCCCAAACAAAATTACTAAGTATATATGACTATCCTGAAAATCTTGACACATGCATATGATGTCAGAACTGATCTGTTGTGGTCTGTTTAATCGAGATGAACACAAGAATTAATCTCTTCTTTGATGTTGATTGAGTCTAATCTTACATTCCTTGGAAAGATGGTGATTGTCGAGTTTAGTTGAGCTACTCTTTTAATGTGCCATGGTGGAAAGGAGGTTGATGTGGGGAAAGGATCGATGGGAAGAGGCGAAAATCGAGTGGGTGAAGCTACAAAATTCGAGCTGACACCGCTGGCTGCAGCAGGTGACGCCACAGACTCGGCCCCAAAGCGTCCGCGCGACGCTACATATGTAGCGTCACCTGTTTGCCCGGGGTGTGAGCTAAGTGCGCGTGTCCAAGTGAATGTGGTGTGGAGAAACATGCCTAACACTGAGATGGCAACCCGGAATGGCGAGTGGCACTGACAACCTTAGCCGTAGGAAGTGTACATATAGGACAGAACATATCACATATCCAACAATTGTTAACAGGGTTTGGGAGTTATGGGAGTTTTATCTGCGAACACGGTTTCCCTTTAACTTATATGATGATTATATGATATACATACAGCCATTCTGGTATTGCTTGTCGCACTTGTTTGAAAAAGAAAAACTTTGTGAGCTTGAAACCCAAGTTTTAACCAGTTAAAACCTGAAAATTGGCTGTATTTCCTTGAATTACAGCCAATTTCAAAGTTTTATCGAGTAAAAACTTAGGGCCCGTTCGGCTGGTTTCCAAAAATCTGTTAGACAATAATGATTTTTCAACCCTTTTTCAAGGGGCGGATTGAAAAACTCGGAATTCAGCTTTTTCGTTGACCAAACAGTTGACCAAATAGGTCAACAAAAGATCGAAATGAAGGGGCAAACAGGGCAAAAACACTTTTTGGTCTCAAAAACAGCCTCAGGGCTGTTTTTCAAAATTGAAAATTTTTTGATCAAAAACCGTTTTTGGTTTTGATCAAAGACCGTTGCCAAACACCTGTGTTTTTCATGAAAATCAAAAACCGTTTTGACCCAAAAACGGTATTTGGCTTTGGTGGTGTTTTTGACCAAAAACCGTTTTTGGGTTCCAGCTGAACGGGCCCTTAGGTTTCACCTATTTTCACTTTTTCTTTTTCAAAACGGAGCGACAAGAAATATCGGAATGGCTGTAATACATAATGCATAGGGTCAAAACAAAAAAAAACAGATCTTGGAAGCGGTATTGCATAAGTCAAACCCACTGATGTGGTTGTGATACTGACAAGATTGAATTTTTTTACTCAGTATCAAATTGGCAAGCAAATGATGATGTTTCTGCTGGTTCCTGGAATCTCTAAGAAGTTCAAAAAATCTGGGAAAATCTGGAGAGATCAGAAGCGGGCTTTGTGATGTGTGGAGATATTTTTGGATTTTTTGTGTGTTTGTCTTGGATAGATGCAAGTTATAACATAGAAGGTTGTTTTCTATTTGCCAAATAAATTGCAAGTTCATTTTGTGTCACAAATGCATTGAAGTTTTACATATTGTCTCTGAAACATGTACAGACAATGCTGCAATCCATTGTGTTGCGTAGCGCCTGTGGTGGTGTCATGATGCAGGTTTGTGTATCAAATAACCCTAACCCCGGCTTCTGGAAAGGTGCCACAGCTCTATATATGGTATACAAATATTGTTCTGGAGATTTCCAGAAGGTTTTTTCCCAGAACGCCAGAACCCTTCTGGTGTTCTGGAAAACTATATTTCTGTGAACAAGGTTCCACTTTGTGTTGCAGTCATGTACTCAAGATTCTGGTATTCTGGACTGCTGGGGTTTTCAAACTTCCAGAACACCAGAATGCCAGATACCATTATAATTTTTCTTTCTGACGTTCTGGGAAAAATCTTCTGGAAAATTCCAGAACGATATTTGTATACCACAATAGACCAGCTGTGCAGTAGTGTAGACCACATTCCGGCAACTGATATGAACCAAAACTTTGCCATAATTACATAAGCTGGGTTTCATGATGCAGGTTTGGGTATCAAATAACCCTCATCCCCGCTTCTGGAAACATGCCACAGTTTGATGGACCAGCTGTGCAGCAGTATAGACCACATTTTGGCACCTAATATGAACCAAAAATTTGCTCTCATCACATAAGCTGGGTTTCATGATGCAGGTGTGGGCAACAGATAACCCTGATCCCCGCTTCTGGAAAAATGTCACATGTTTGTAAACCGGCTGTGAAGCAGCACAGACCCCATTTTGGTGACTGATATGAACCACAACTTGGCCACAATTACGTAAGCTGGGTTTCATGATGCAGGTTTGGGTACCAGATAACCCTGATCCCCACTTCTGGAAACGTGCCACAGGTTGATAAACCAGCTGTGCAGCAGTGTAGGCCACATTTTGACAACTGATATGAACCTTAACTTGGCCATACTTAGATAAAATAGTCTCACAATGCAGGTTTGATTATTAAATCACACTATTTACAAGTATGAAAACTTGCAACATATTGATAACACAAATATACACAATTATAACCACAACTTGGCCCCTGGAATTCTCAGTCAGGAAAGGTATTTAAGCTCCATCTCTTCTCCCAGATGCCCCCCATACTCTATCGTCATCTTAACAACCATCAACTTAGTACTACACTTTGAAGTCAATTTCAAAAAGAAGATTATAAGCTTGACTCATCCAGTCATTCACTATTGTTGGCTCCAAAAATATGAAATTACAATCTGCATTCACTTTTATCACATTCACAGCTTTACTACTTGGACTAGCACAGAAGAGCTTCTGTGCACTCGGAGGCCACTGTAAATCTTGTCAATTTCAAGGTCCCATGACCGTGACCCAAGAGACTGTACCTTGTGGCAAGCCTTGGAATTGTCCAAAATGTAAAACCAATTGGAAAACCTGTAAACTCGATGTCGTCAAACCAAAATTGAAATGTCCTAAGTGTCCTGCTGAGTCAGATACAGCATCCTCTGCCAGAGGCTGTCAGTTTGATGGTGACCATATTTTCAAGTGTCCAAGTTGTGATGCAAAAAAAAGTGGCAACAAACACTCTTCTTGCTTGCCCTGCTGGAGTTAGTTCATAAGTGAGTTTCCTTGTCAAACAGGTTTCTGTGTAATTTGCTGTGATAGACCATGCTAACCAAATATTTATCCTTTTCTGTGGTGCATCAAGTGTCTACCATCCTTAAGATCACGCCTCATTATTCAAGGCCAAAGATTATTTGAAGTGATTTTGTCAATGATTTGACCTCATTTCAAAACTGCCCTAATCAAGCCGGTCACTATATGTATTGGCAACTCATTGGAACACATGGCATTTTCTTTATTTTCCTTCCTTTCCACTATTTTTTTGTTAGGTTCTCTGGCCACAAAGGATGTAGCACTTGTCCATAGGAAAAGTCTGCTCTTTGATCCTGGTGTCTAAGGGTTCCTCTCCTTCACTCACTGTAGTGTGGATACAGATTTTTCAACCTTTTGAAGCACCAAAAATATGTTAGCATAGCACAAAATTGTTGTCTACATTTTTTCCCTCTTATTATCACTCTTTTTGTTTTCACACCAAGCAGGGCCATTATAAGCTTTCTGCAACAATGTTACTAAAGCCCCAGGGGGAGAAAGCCATCTCTTTTTGCTTTTTTGTTCTTCACTGCATCAGGCAATTTATCACTGAATTACTTTTCCAAATTGTCATTTTTTTCCAGGCTGACTGAAGCATTGCCGAGATCACTGCAATACGCGGCAATATCTGACTAGATTTGGATATTGTAGTGTTGGTACACTCTGTTATAATGGACCATCACTGCAATATAAGCCCCGGCCGATATACAAAACTCATATCACAGTGGTGGTCCATTATAACGGCACTATATAGTGCTTGTAGTGGATGAAATTTATCTCATGTGAGCTTTGGGACCTTTGGCACATTTTTTTAATATATACACAAAGTTTTTATTTCTTGTCCAACATTTGAACAAAGGAACTTTAGTAATGACCAACAAAAAAATGAAAAAGACAGATATCTATAGGGAGTAAAGGTAAAAGAGAAGAGACAAAAGTGAGATATTGAGGAAAGGGACAAAAGACAAGAATCAAATCAGGAGAAATATAAGAAAACAAAAAAGACAAGTCTTGAGAAAGAAGATCATGAAAAGTGGAACAACAGAAAACATAAAAGTTGAAGAAAAAAAATTAAGGAAAGTGGTGAAAAGAAAAACATGAATGAAGAATAGAAAGAAAACCAAAAAAGTGAGATGAAAAGAACAACACAATGACTGGAAAGAAAATTAAAAAAGGGGAACAATAACAAGTAAAGTGACAAAAATCATTTTGTCTTATACTTGCGCAACAAAGCTTGCACTTCAGCCCAGTCTCCACAAATGTCCAAATCCATGTCCAACCAAGCACTAGATGCGACCAACTGCTCAATACTTTTGGCCGCAAGACCACTGCAAGCATTGGTTGCAATGCAAACAGCAGAGGAAAAGTGGTGTTCCTCACAACAGGACGTAGCGGTGAGGGAAAGATAATCCCGTGCAAGTATTGCCAAAAGTGGAAAGCTTTGTGAGTTTGCCTGATTATAACAGAAAGAGAAGTCAGGATACTGGTAGGTGAACGTAAGACAATGACAGTAAGAAGTAAGTCTCTTAACTACCACCATGCTAAGTGGTCACCTGACTTTGCAGGATGTTTTCCATTCATATACATCTCAAGCTCTTTGTGGTGGTTAGTAGCAGTTAATTCTGAATTGGATGCATGAATGTCATACTTGCTGTTGGCTGATTTGGTCAAAGTGATTGAGGTTCCAGGGGTAGAGAAAGAATTAGGATGGTTTTGGCTGTTCTCAGTTTGCAGATGATCAGCTAGAGTTTTGGAGAACTGCTCGTGTAGAAGGGTCTTAGCACGCTCAGCATGAGCAGGGTAAAGCTTTTTGAAAAAACAAGTTTGGCAGCAAGGATTGAGAGTGGTGGCTAATATGACTGAGTTGTATTGGAATGCTTTGGCTTGGTAAACTTCCAACTTAGCTTTCATGATGTTGTCATATGATATATGCTAGCCTATCTGGTGGTATTTGATAGTGAGGTGATTTCATCAAGAACCTGATCATACTCTTGCAAGAGTAAAGCTCCAAATGAATGATTGCCTTCCATTTGTTGGGTTGCACGCAGAAACACCTGAAACAAGATATCCATAATCAGTCACAGGGGCCAAAATTGATGCTCACATGTATGTGAGCATTGTAGACTTTTTTGAAGTCTCCAAAAAAGATTCATTTTCTTTCAGATTCATTCAATTCACAATTTTGGTTGTGTTCAGGTGATCAGCCTGTTTTACTCACATTTTGCTTGACGTTTCTTGAGACGGCTCATTTCCATCTTGGATGAGCAATAACTGAGTCCAGATGAGTACTCAGGATCAGCTCATGAGTCACTAAATACTCAGCAATTTGGTCAAAATTACAATGAGCACATGAACTACACCTTCCTCAGGCTTCATTTCTTAGTGAAGGCCCGCACAGGGGCCATCACAGGGGCAAAAATTGATGCTCACAACTATGTGAGCATTGAAATTTTCCTGTTTTGTTCCCATTTGTTTCCCATTTGTTTCCCTTTTCTTTCTGCTTGTCAGCTCATTATATGATCAACAGAAACTGAGGAGATGAGTCAGGACTCCCTCAGGCAACATTCCTTAGCAAAGAAGCCTGAGGGAGGGCTGGCCCATCTGCTCAATTAATCTAAGCCCCTCAGCTCATCCTCAGCAGCATCCCTTGACACCGGCTGGTCAGGGGGACACCTGTGACTGGCTGGGCTTGTCAAGCTATCCCTGTGTTGGGTTTTACAACACCAACCCCAAACTGTTTTGGGAACAAGGGCAACTGGGACGTCCCCAACAGTGCTGACTGTCAGCTGCCAGTAATCACTTTCACATCCCTTTTGCAGACCTCACAAACCCGTGATATCCTCTTGTGTTTCACACACTGCTTTATTGTGCGTATCTCATTGTACATCATCTTATTCGAACCATATAGTAGCAAATACTTAAGACTTTCACATCAGGCGCCTCCTCAACAAAGGTCCAAGTAAAGGAAATACCAAATAACATCAACCCCAACATCAAAAACAGGAAACACCAATGATATGCAAAATCAAAACCTACTTACTCCTACTTCACTACCTCGCTCAGGAGTTAAAGATGAAGACCTCTTAGTATACTGGGAAGATTCACCTCATCATCGATCCAGAACATCTAATCTGACTCCACTCAAATCACAACCCAAGCGAGATTCTATGGCAGCAGGAATACCATCACCTTCAGAGATAGTCGTCAACATTCATTCTTCCCCTTCAAATGGGCTCCCACAACCTCCACTGGGCGTATCCACCCCAAGCAAATCACGCAGGTCACTTAGGCAACATAAGCGATTGAGAGACGCCAATATTTGGGCGAGGGGAACCCCCTAGTCAATACCTCTGAGAGCGCGTTCAATAGCGCGTCTTCTGCACCGCGTCAGAACACAGAGATTGATGTTTTGCTCAATCGTCTGGCAGACAGAGTTGACAAGACGAAAGCCAAAGCCTGCATTGGTCTCCTCTTCCTATTGAGTGATTTTATTTGAAACTTGTTTGCATATGTACTGACCTTATTTGTTTGTCACTCCATCTTTTTGATGTTTAGGGCCAATCTTTGTCAGCCCCGAAACGGTTGAATAAAAGCCCAAGTCAAACACCTACCAGAACTACCCCCGTCCTTCCCCGTGTTCTTGCTTCGACCACTAATAGTAATGGCCTTCAAATTCACAAACGTACCCCAGATAATCGAAGCATGAAACCCCTTCTGGGGACCACAATCTCTAAACCCGGCCTCAAACCCAATGCGCATACCTTACAAACGTCCAATTGCGCACCTCTTAAAGTTACTACTTTAGCATTACAGTCTAAAGTGGTACCCTCTTCGCAGAGGCTTCTTTTGAACTCTATTTCCAACCTTCCTTCTGATCGATCAGTACCCATTACACGCACGGCACGCCCCACAGTCCCTACTATCAACGGCCCTGTCCCAAACCTCCAAACACGAACTCTATTAATCTAGCCAATTGGACCCGCATGGCTTCAGTAGCAAAAGTCCCACCACTCACCAAAAACCCAACGGCGATATCTAGGGTGCCTGCAAAGGTACCACCGCCTGTCCCAAAAGTCACAACAGCTGCAGGACCAAAAATCTTACCGCGTGCACAACCTGCTATCAATCCGGTTAAGACTAATTTCAACACAACAAACTTTACGACTATGAAACGTTTTACAACAAAGACTCCTGTGATTGCACCGACCACCACGAAGACCACCAAGATCACCCCAATCACAACAAAGACCACAACTACAACACCTATCACTTCTGCATCTACTAAAACTACTACCAAGCCTGTTCAACATCATGGTGATGAATCAATTTCTTTGCTACGCGGACTTTGCGCCGGTGACTTGGATTGGGATTTAGACCATTGATTAATAATTTTGAAAGCTTAGAATATCTCTGATAATATAGTTCCCCAATTGGAATAGAATTCATCGACTTGTTGTTTTTCAGAAAGGATTTGTACATATTCATTTCACATATTGTCCAAGCTTGACCTCTAAATTTCATTATAACTTTTTTGTGTGACCAAGGACACTTTCATTTTTTATCCCAAGAACTTTTCTTTTTCAACTTATCATACAATTGTTTTGTAAAAATAGTAATTCATGTTCATCTTTTAGAAAGTTTTGTAAATGTTTGAAATCTTCAAAAAAACTACCGCCCCGTTTTGTTACACTCAAACACAAATTCAGTTTAATGAGAACACTAGTGAGAATCTCGTAAGTCTTCATACGAGTAAATGAGAATGTATCGCTTTTCAAAAAATTCTTGGGTGTTCTCGTGGTGGGCGCGAATTTCGAATCTGAAATGCACCCAGAGCGCCTACAGACAAGGCGCGCCAACTGGGATATCACTCTGAATAGCTTGCCATCCAAACATTGGAACCTCCTTGAGTCCATCCAGATGACCAATGCCGAGTTATTGATAGTCCAATATTCAAGAAGTTTGACAAACTTGAGCCAGTCATAAAGACCTTAACAACTAAGAATGGTATGACCCAAGCACTTTCATAATCATTCAATTTCTTTAATCAATTTGTAAAGAAAACAACTTGGGTTGATCCATTTTTTATACTTCAAAAGAGCAAAACTCACTGAACTTTCAAATTTCAGCACTACAATTATCCTGAATGAAGAAAAAAAATGAAAAACATTACTGGGAAGAATTTTTGACATCCTTGTCAACAGTCATATTGAAATGAGATATGTAGTCTCTGAAGTTCAGTAAGTGGGTCGATAGCGATGAGATATGCAGGAGGTGATGACCAATAGGGTTGACAGTGGGCGTGGCACATGTATTGCTTCGATCTGATTCACCAAAAAAGTCATGGTCAACGCATACACTCTCTGTCATTCCTGTGTTTAATGGTCAATACCTCTCAGAATACTTACATATCCAGATAACTCTGTTCTGCGCGATTTTTGAGGATGCTTTGATTGCCTCTGACTTCATCTGTTAAGAAACTTATTGCGGATTGATCTCTTGATGATTGTTATTTATCAGCCAAGTGCTTTATTGCTTTTTTATTCAAAATTGCTAACATTCATATGGTCATGGATGTTTTGGCATGCCTGTATGCGCGTGACTTGCATTTTCATAGAGATGCACTGAAGAGGAATAACAGCTGCGAGGGGCGACAGAAGTGATTACAGTAGAGAAAGGATAGTGACATATGTTGTACAGCATCAAGGCCAAAAGACCGAGACGATGGGTAACGAGGAACGTTGGGCAGAAAACAAAGTAATGAAAAGAAGGAAACAGCTGACATATCAAGCTTTGTCCTTGAAATATTCAAGCAATCGGTTTTTATGGATTTGGATTGCTTCCAGGTTTGAGATGAGGAAACTAGATACGGTGTGAGAGAAGTATGATTAGACCAGTCAAAACTTTGAAAAGTAGTAGCGAGATGACAGGGAAATGCAATTAAATCGCACTTACACGTTCTTTTACATGTTCATAATTCTGAGGCCAGATATCATTGCTTGTATGACCAGACAGATGGATAAGCTTTTTACATTTTGATGTAGTCGATGGTTCCTTTGACGCAGAAGCGGACTTGAGGATGGTTTGATATCCGTAATAGTTGAGCATTGGTTCATTCTCTTCATGAAACAAATTTAATCGATTCGCAAAGACTTCAACTGTATTATCTGTTTGTTTGATGAGGGGTTCTCCAGTCACATTGTCCAATCTTTCAACTTTTGGCGGGTTATAGGTAGTCTAGAATGCCATGGGGGAATGAGAGGAAGGCAAGGAGTCATCAGTCTGTAGCTCGACTAGGGCGAAATCTGCTGACTCGTCTTCAGGTCTCAATGTGCAGGGTGATTATTATGCAAACACACATGGTACACCCTCCCTGATGGGCCATGAATCCACCTCCCTACGAATGTCCAAAGAAGCCACAAAATTAGTGGCGTGCTCCTGAGCTGATAAGATGGATCAAATACTCAATCATGTTTGAAGACAAACCTGATATTCTATGTAGAATGATATTGTCAGGTACGTGTAGAGCAATGATGATATTGAGCTCGTTGTTCAATTCTTCCTTGAGAAATTTGTCAGGTTTGATGGCTTGAGCTCTTGTACGAGGAAACCCATCTAAGATCCAATCCTTCAGGAACAAAAGTATCAATCATGATTAGTATTTTTTACTCCAACAAACAAAAACAAAACAAGAAAGTGTCAAGTGCACTGCCAGCATTAAAGAGGTTCCCAGATGGGAATATGGGTCGTAGGGATCAGACCGCCATTGTAATATATGTAGTGACAAAGGCTGTCTGATTCCTACGACCCATATTCCCATCTGGGAACCTCTTTAATGCTGACAGTGGTGATGACTAACTTGATCAGCTAGTTGACAAAGTTCTGGTTTCACCAACTCAAGAATAACATCGTCTGGGTTGACCAACCGTACTTGGAGTACATATCAAACCCAGGTGAGATTGTAAGTCAGCCAAAGGTTTTTGATTACAGTCAGTTGAAATGAACAAACTAATTAAGCATCACACATCTGTTGATGATTCTTGTACAAAGCATTCCAGCGTTGAGCCTATGGAGGCTGAGGACGTGGTCCAAAATATCCAACTTCCTTTGCGAGGACGTTCCGTTGGCTCCTGCAAGCAGCCAATCAAGACGTCATGACTAACCTGATCAACCTATGCAGAAGTTAAGAAACATATATCAAGATTAGCTTTCAAAGTATATGAGTAATAGAATTATAATACGGACCTTATCAATGGCAATCTTAACAACATCAGTCTTGAACTTTTGAACATCTGATTCTGGAAGCACAGCTGAGTTGATATGTGCAGATACAGTTGTCAAATCAAACTCAGAAGGTCCTTTGTCATCCAATCCTTGCACAGATCCGTCTTCACTTTCTTTGTCTTCTGGGTGATCTGGATATAAAGAAAATTTATTAAATTAAAAAGATTCAATTAAGATTATAAGTTGATTCTTCCAAAAGAGAAATGTAAAAAAGGAAATGACTTACCAAATTCATCATCCGAGTAACTCATCTTGAGTTCTTCCGCTCCATTGTTGAACTGAAGTTCGGGAAAAATTGGAACATGAAGTAAAGGCTGAGATGGCTGTGTTGGTTTGATGCGCCCAGCAGGAACCTTGAGGTAGTCAAGACCAGCTTTCACAACACAGGCCATCTTGTGACAGTAGCACCACACATGATTCTTTGCTGAATCCCAAGTTACAGGTTCAGGTGCTTCAGCAAGCATACAACTCATCTCACGGGCAGCTGGCATGTTATTACTCCCTGAGTCAGTTGTCTGTGCAAGCATGTGAGACCAGAAAGGAAACAATGAGCAATTTTGAAATTGAAAAGAAAGGACGGAAATGAATACTTATCATGTGATGGATGTTGTGACAAATAAGGTACCGTGCAACCGGACGGGCAAGTAATTCCCCAAAGTGCCTCCAGGCAAGGAACTTCAGACCAAGGTGGAGCCTTCAAAATTTCCAACTGCGGTCTCAAAATTTCCAATTGCAGTCCACAAACGTGGCTGAAAATCTAAATACTAAAAAGATGGACCACTCGCATGAGGTCGTTCCTCTTCTTTCCTCAGTTAACCAGGTCCGCCTCTGTGGGTCAGGTCCTGTTCCCTATTTATTTCATGTGTCCATTGATGAACTTTTCATGTTGAGCTCTTGTTAATGGAGCTTTGGCAGTCGGATTGTTTTGTGTGTCCATTCATTAGCTTTTGCTTGTGAGCTGTTATTAATTGAGCTTTTGCAGTTGATCTTTTGTTATTCATGCCTTCTAGATTCAGATTGTTTGTCTTGCCTAATCTTCTGATTCAAATTTACCATTGTACTGTTCAATGAGTCTTTGTTAAGTCAACCTTCCTCACACCTCACCAGGACCATTGTTTAACGCTTATTATGTCTGGACTTTTGAGAAGCACTACTTTCCCTTTTACTCCTGCTTCGAGCTACTCATTTTTTTGTTGTTCCTTTGTATAGGCCCAAATTTTCTGTGATTTGTTCAGTTAATCATCATCATTATTTTCATGTTAAAGGTGGACATACAATTCAAACAAAACCGAAAAAACCTCCACTGACTCCCTCAACAAGCGTGAGTTTTGAAATTTGCCCAGCCAGTTTCAACCGAGCAATGCTTACTTTTCATTCTCATGTCACCTTGAAATGATCCATCCAATCTAGCTATCAATTGGTTTACAAAATTCATCTTTTCACTATCTCCTGATCACCATTTATTCACAAACAACTTCAACTCACCTCTGCTTACAATCCACTTGATAACAGGTCACATTTTCTAAATCAAACACTGTAAGCTCTTCGACATTGAAGATATATTCAATGTGAAAAAGTTATGCAACTCTTTAAGTGAGGCATACATTTATTAACTGTGTACATAATGTTTTCTTCCAAAACTTTTTCTTCTGTCCCTCATCCATCTAGAAAAACATTTGATCTGAATCAATTAAAACTCATCAAAAGCAACAATGTCAATCAAACAAAGATCACAATATCATTCTCATCTAACTCAACCTAACTTTACTGGACTTTCTTCATAAATCATCAAAAAATATTGATTCAAATTGAAGATTCCAATTCACAATCAAATTTATCTATCAATCGTGCAAATTTAAAAAAACTACAAAATAAAAAGATCACAAACTGACTTGAAAAAACAGTGTAGACAAAGACAAAGATTGAATTGAAGTACAATAAAATATATCACATCATCAAAGTGTTAAACAGTTGTGATCAAAATATCTTATGAAAAATGGATATAAACTCCTGATCAAATCCAGAAAGCCATCTGTTGATCTTTAGCCATCAATCCTATTCCACCCAGATTGATGTCCTAAGTTTTTTTAAGTTTTCTAATTATCTTACTTGCATTTGTAAATGATAAAAGCCAACTCTCAAATCCCTTCTTGTCTTCCAATGAAAATTCAGTGAAAATGACTCTTGCATTGAAATCACACCACTTAACATCCATCTTCTTATTGTTTTGAGATGTTTACTCTGACATACTGGATCTGTTGATTTCACCAAAGAGAGATCATTAGACTATCTAATTGACATTTCTGTCCCAAGCGGATTGATGTGAACTCTTTGATGATTATGTATTTGTGTATTTCCTCAATGTCTCTTGATGTCTAGCTTTTGTTTTGTACATATTACTACCAAAACAAGATTGTGAATAACTTTTAAACAATGGGCTTTTGCGTGCCTTTCAATTTTGATACAGATTCATCACAGCTCACTTACTTTTATTGACTACACCTGAATGATGTGACATAGAGCTCCAGATTGGGATCTTCTACACCATCATTCTTTGATGGTAAGAATAAGATACTCTGATCAGAGTGTGCAATATCAAGAAAAATGGCCAACTTATTCAACCTTTATAATTGAACTTAGTTTGATAACTTAGGAAGAGTCTAAAGTATAGCCAAAAAAGTGTGAATATTTTAGCAAACTCAGCAAAACAGTCTGAATGTTTGTGAGGGCTGGGTGCTCACTTGAGTACTCAGGGCTCACTAAATAGGCTAGTTGGAGTCTTGTAATTCAAGTAAACAGATTTATATTGCAAATATAAAAGTATCTACACTGAATTTAATACAAAGGAAAAGGATGACGAAAGGGAAACAATGTTATACAAGTGTATATAGTGAAGGGTGGATCCTAGTCCTTCCTTTAGTCTACTAGTGACTGATTAAAGAGTGTGGTGAAGTTCACCTGACTAGTTGTTCTATGGTCACTAACCCTGGGTTGTTCTTATGGTCACCAACCTTGGGTTATTCTATAGTCACCAACCTGAGTTGTTCTATGGTCACTAACCTTGGGTTGTTATATGGTCACCAACCTATTAGAGTTCTACTTAGGGAAAGTAGAGGATCCAGGGAGGAGTGAAGAGTATTACTTTACTTTTAATCAAGGAACTGATTAAAGTAAAGAAGATATCACTAGTCTTATATCATTAAGACTCTTGATGTTACTTCAGTTGGACTTTTATTGTTCTTAAAAGTAGTGTGTAATAAAGCTTGGGGGGAAATCTCTCAAGGCTGAGAGAGGAGGGGTTTATATACTCTCCTCTCCAAACCTAACTGTGGTGAGATTTGTTTACATCCCTACTTTGGTTTAGGGTTTGATTATCATTATTATTTGGGATTATTACTGATAATACTTAATTACATATCCATGTTATGTGTAATATGTAATGTAAGCTTTTTTTAAACTCTTGACACTGAGTTATGAGGTGTAATTGATACTTTGTTACATGTTACATATTATTTTAAATGTATATGTATATGTAATTAAGATGTATATATGATTTATTACAAGTTACATATTTTTTGTAAGCTTTATGTACATGTAATTAGTTGTCTGAAGGTGGTTATATATGTTAAAAGTTGGTCTTTGGGTACATACATATGTACCCCGGGCTGACAATGTTGAACTTCAGAAATTGATGGGTACTTGTGATGAGTGATGTGATGGGAACTATTATGACTAATGCTTGATCTAGAATGATTACATGCTTTTCATGATAGCCAGATATACAACTGGTGGTATGGATAACCCAGACAGTACGAATCAAATTGAGGTGATCATCAAGAGCAAACATGGACTCTTTGGGCAGCAGCATCAAAGGCAAGATGTGTTCAAATTACCAATGTACAATTTTGCAAGTCTCTTCTCAATCTTTGACCAAAGAGTTGCAAAACTAAACCCTAAGTTTAAAAAACCAATCAAAGAGTTCTACCTGTTTTTGAGAGATATCAGACCAAATAACACAATATGGGATTGGTTTGGGTGGTTCCTGGCTTATTTATCAAAAAATGTCCAGCTGTATCAGATCCAACAACATCTAGATTGGTTCATTGAGAATATGATGAAGTATTCAAATGAAAACCTGCACATCTTGAGAAACTAAGGCCATTCAAGTGAACATTTGTTCTTGAACCAAATTTTACCTTTGAGATTTTTAATAATAAAATTTATCAAATGGGGAAAGGGTTTTTTGAGGATAAAAAATTCCTTTGCTCCTGGCTTTGACTGTCAACAAGATCTCATTGTTTGGAGAAAAAAAACAGTGTGATCAACTCAATCAAGGATTTT